TCCTGGCAAGATTTGAATTTTGGACCCTCGATACTTATTTTCTAAGAAGAGAAACAACACAATAGCTTTGAATGTCTAATTTATATTCAAGTTATGTATACACTGAAGCATTAAATTAGTTCTTACTTAATATTGTGCTGGGAGGGAAGCAATAGGAGTTCGTTCATTTAGACATTACATTATCTATTAAAAGTTAACGTTTGTGGCTTTTTTCTGAGACCAATGTGTCAATAATATGGTCTACATTAATACTTTTTAATGTCACACTCAATCGTCAGTATAGCGAGATTACTCAAACATTCTTGGCCACTCTGCAATCAATACTTTTTTATTGCCACTTATATAGAAACATGTTTTTATGACGCAAAGAGAGACACCAAGTCTCAAAGATCACCGTTTGTTATTGAGCGTTGAATGCGGGATATGAAGCTAAAATAAATTTTGAAAACGAATGAATGTTGAAAACGATGTAAAAACAATGAAATTGTTGGAAAACATTGAAATTGTTGAAAATCATTGAAATTATCGTAAAACATTTTACTTGTTGTAAAACATTGAATTTGTTGGGAACATTTGAATTGTTGAAAAACACTGACATGGTAGAAACAGGAAAATGTGAGATATCTACAAGAGGGTTTCTTTTAATCTCTATTGTTTTTGCAAATGCATTTTTTTTCTATTGCAAAAGTAAAGTTTTCTACTGTGTGATAAGCAAACTGCTTTTTTTCTTTTTCAGTTTATGAACATGTGCGCGTTTTTTTCTTTGTTTCGTGGGGACATGTTACGTAAGATTTTCTCTTGGCCGTTCGGTCACTTGGAACATCCCGAAGCTAATAAGCCTAGTTGCTTCTCCAAAGCCGTACTGCGTTGATCCCACCGGTCTTTGTTAATTTCCTCTTCGTTAGTTCATCACTAACTTTGCAGAACTACATAAATTGTATAAGTCACATTCCTCTTTGACGCTTCAATGGGTTTGCATACAAGAAGCATAGCTTGAGTATGGTTATACGTTTTTACTCTTCTTGACCTGGGGTCGTCCGGACGAATTGGGCGAACGATTACAATATTTTCACAGTAAAAATATCAAATAAGCGTTTGAGAGAGTCGCTACAGAGAGTATATAAAAACATCCGTCTCGCAGACCACTTACACACTAGAGAAACAAATGGTCTGGCATACAACTACGAAAAATACGGAAAGAGAAACAACCTGCCTCACAGAGCGCCACGATTTCCAAAAACGCCCCTTTATTGCCGGCCGCTTCAGCTTAAGTAAACCAAACTCCGCCAAGCGATAGAAGAGGGTCAGGGAGGAAGATATTATGACTGTCAACGACCTCGCCCACTAATATCTGCAACTATTGGATAAACCAATTTCACTTGGCGCCTGTCTGTCAGACCGATGTTTCCACATAAGTGTTAATTTCATTTTGCTGAAAGATCTTTCACAGCGTCAATGCTAGGCGAATGGCAATGCCTGTATTGGGATAACTAGTTACTAAACCATATTCTTCATGGCAATTAAGAAGTGCAATGTTATCTGCATTTTTACTTTCTCGCTACTGAATAGAGAAAGTTATGTATGTATGCTGCGCGAAAAAACAGAGAATTTTCGGCAGAAAAACTATTATTATAGGGCCCTGGTTACCAAAAAGTGGATACATCTAGATGCTAAATTTACGGGGGGATCTCAATCACATGGTGTAGATAGAATTCATGTTTTGTGGGTCGTTGCAATCGAAAATTCCAATGATGGCAAAACGTCCGTTCGTAAACAAGGCTAGTGGCTAAACCATTCAGCCGATTTTCTCGGAAATTGTTATTCCGCAATCGATCTGGCTGATACGCACCTCTTGAATTTTAAATCGATATTTTAATTTTGGGAAGTACTTTACATGAAGCCCCTAGGATATTTTCCAAGATTTGTTTAAAAAATGGCTTCATCGTTTTTTATTAGTTTTTTTAGTGCGAAAAACGTTTAAGTGAACGGTGCAGGACTCATGTTCATTGAAAACTCTGATTTTTCTGCACAAGTTCGAAATATTTCTAGAACTAAAATATTAGACATAAACTTTTTCCTCTTAATGAAATATGTTCCTTAAAGATGGCTTTTGAAATAAGGGTAATGTACAAATTTTTCGAAAATTTGACTAGTTTTCGCGAAATTTTGCCCTAAAATACGGGCGAGAAAGTACGTGGTTTTAGCACCACTACTTGTTTTTCTTTCATTTAGGATTCGGTACAAAGTTTATGTTAACTTAGGGGCGCCGTTCCTTATCTGTGTGGGCGCCTATCGTTATTAGCTACAGGTTATTACTTTCTCGCTACCATTTTCACAGAGGGAAGAAAGTTACGTAATGATGTGGGGAAAAAGCAGCGAATTTTCGGTAGAAAAACTTATTGCTGGGCCCTGGTCACGAAAAATTATGGATAGTTGCTAAATTCAAAAAAAAAAATCGTCTAACACGTGTTGTAGCAAGATTCCATGTTACGTGGAACAGTAGTTACAGTATAGTAGTTTTTATCAACGACAAAGAGTTTCTTAAATGATGAAAGAGTACCGATTTTCAATAAGTTTCCAAGCTGGTATTGAAAAAAGTAGAACTTTCATGGCCGAATTCTGTACGAGAATGCGTCACTTTCTAGATAGTCTTCTATAAAAAAAATAGTGAAAGAAAAGATAAACAAATATCTTATTATTAATACTAGTGAGTTAATTAAATTAAATTATCCTCTGAAAATAAAGTTTATTCTCTTGTAACTATACCAAGCCTTCAGGCGGCATTGAATTCAGGGTAGTTCTCCTTGAACGTTGTTATAATAAATTAAGCAAACGTATGTCATAAGTTCGTGGTAATTGTGTGAATAATGTTGTCATCCCTGACGTCCAGGGACTCGGCCCCGTTAGTATATCCAAGGTTCCCACTCGGTCATCCATCCCTTTGTCGCTCGAGCAGCATCACCTCCATTCGATTACCGGTGTCAAAAAAGAGAAACATTTCCACAAATGCTTAGCGCTCTCTTGGAGAAGGCTCGTTTTCAACACTTGTGCTTAGACCTTGAAGCTTTTGCATACAACTTTTAAACTAATATTTATTTTACCTCTCAATAAAGGAAGGTAAGAATAATTTGCCATTTAGTTTTTATTTGCGCTCTTCCGTGAGCTTTCATAGATCCTCGAGAGCAACATTTGGACTCGTGAGAAATAACACTTGAATTTAACGACTTGAATTTAATGGCGTTCCGAAGGTTGGGAAAGTCAGAGAACATTTGTTTTGCCGCAGTTACGTAGGTGTTTTCAAACATATGTGATATGTAATATGTTAAAATATTACGAAATGCAAAATACACTTGTGAAAGAAATAATGGTAACACTTTCGAAAATGAATGAAACAACTAATTACGTAGGTTACATATGGCAAATCTTGGAAACAGCCTCCTCAAACTGTGATGATAGAGTAGAAGAAATCTCCGTCAACTTCAAAATCTATAATCAACAATTAAGTTGATAGAAATGACTTCCAGTATTTTATCCATCATGTAATTACGTCAACAATACCATATGAGCATTCTCACAGTTCCTCAGACTGTAACAAGTAACTGCTGTCTTCACGTAGAATCACACGTTTTCCATTGTTTTCCTCAATACCAATCCTTGGCTTGTATCGTACCGGCGTGTAAAACTCTTTACGAAGAAATATTCGGGACAACACATTGTCCAAAGATCGTGATCGATACTAAGAGCCTAAAAAATAATATCCCTTCTTTAGAATAGAATGAAGTTTACTGCAACAGCCGACACTTACCTGTGTGTGTAGGCTACCACCTTTTCGCTCCATGGTATTTACATTTACATATTTCCAAAGGGCAAATCGGACAAGTATTAATATATCACTCATGAGATTTTTACGGTTATAATTAATTTTTCTCAACACCAAATATCAGCAAAGGCTAAGTAAGTGGTTAGAAATCTACAATACTGAATGTATAAAATATTTTTCCTTCCTCATTCTCTTATCCAAAATGCTCTTAAAAACATAAGGATTAAAAAAGGGACATGAAATGTAAATGAGCCATGAATTAATTTTAATTGTTTAAAGTCATTTGTAATTTGTTGTCAAATACCATGAAAACACAACAAGCAGTTTTTTTTGTCGAGGGTTGAAGATACCGACACTTGATGAAAATGGTTCCAATCATTCCTATATCATACGTTATAATTATAGATATCTGTAATAGCTTGAATATGTGTCTGGTTTGAAGAATGTCATTTTTGACAATAACCTCTTATTCATTAATAAATTGGCAAAGAAATGGAAGGATTCTTGTTTAATAAAAAGAGGCTTGCAGGGAATTGCTTATTATTCAAACCTTTTAAACGTTTCTTTGAGAAGTAATCTTTTCTCATTCAAAGAGTGAAGTGGAAAAGGAATTTGTAACATCAAAATATTCTGTTTAATTATTCTTATTTTTGTTGTCCTCATTATGACATTGTGTCTATGAGGAAAAACTTGGATTTTTGATAAAATGTTCAACTCTTTTTTGGCATGCATTTCATATGTTGATATGCATGTATGTTCATATATTAATACATAATAGTTCGATTGGAGTCAAATCTGAAATTGTTAGTGCAATAATAGCTTTTTGTGGACATTAAAAAAATTATTTTACAGTCCTGAGGAAATAAAATGTTCAGTTATATGAAACATATATAATATAGAATAAGAAAAAACAAAAAACCTGGTTTCATTCTATGTGAACTACCTCTGTTCATAATGCAATACATATTTTTCAGAAGTAGGGCCTCTTTTACCAAACTGCATTTTGGTTTAAATTTGACATTTTTAAAATTTAAAGATGATCTAACAATTCTAGGAATATTTTAGGTGCAATTCTTTTCAAGGAAGGATTTGTGAATTATTTCAAAGAGTGTGTGATGATTACTACAAAGAATTAATAATGTCATAAATATAAAACCAGAATAAAATGATTTTGAAGTTTAATAAAGTTATATTTTGTATAAGATCCTATGAATAAAGTATGTAAAATACAGACAATTTTTAGAATGAATAACACTGAAAATTGAGTAGAAAATTTGAGTAGAAAAAGTAGTATTAGCATTAATCCAATTTTCCTCACTTTCATTTAAACTAGTTAATAAAAGGTTATTTTTGAAGAGATAACTAAAGAGACATATCAGTCTACGTCCCAGAAACTTTTCTCCTTCAACCTTAAAAATACCAACTATTTTACATTCTATTTCATTATCAATTTTGTGATGCCTTCATAGAAAATGTCCTTTGCAGTCAACAGTTCCCAACAGAAAGGCAAATATATATTTCTTTCATACAGTTGTAGATATTTTGAAACAATAGAGTCGATTGGAAAGCCTATAAATATTTGAACGAATGAAAACATAGAAAGACTGCAAATGCTGTTCATTATTGTATGATATAAAGTTCCTAAAATGATTTAATTTCTTGACTATACAAATATTTTAACTGCATTTTCATAGACAAGCTGGCTGTAACAGTTCAATTGCATTTTAAATCTAAATTGTAAGTTAATAATGAAATTAAAGTTTTTGAATATTTAGTTTAAATGTTATAGTCAGTAGAAAACTAAAGTTTATTACAAACTTTTTAACAGAAACGAACTCATTTGTATTAGTCCTCATTTATTATGTTTCTGAAGAGATCTGAGGGGGGAAAATCATCGTAGATACAGGTATAATATCCCTAACGTGAATTATATTTCAATTAATTGGTTTTATTCCAGGAAGTATACATGAAAACTTGCTTTTTATTCCTTTAAAAATATTTGTAATTAAACACAATAAAAATTAGGTTTCAAATACCATAATCTGTTTAAAATTAAGCACCATCTTTAATTATGGGGTCGTCCATAAATTACATATCGCTGAAGAGGTGGAGAGTGGATTTGAGGCATAGCAATGCTGGTTACATAGGTGAAGGAGAGGGTGTTTGTGTGTGCTCTTTTATTCTAAGACTTTAAAATAATACCAAATTAAATTTAAAAGAATATAAATAAATTTCAAAGTTATGATGTATTCATTGTTACAATAAATGGAAGTATTTTTCATCAGTGGTATTATTAATTGAATCTCTTTGATTAAAAAGAAAATATTCAGAACTGATCTACAGCATATCCTTGAATCAAAATAAACTGGCACAGTACACTCTTGGTCATGCATCATCCATGACGAAGTGTGCTGGACTTATCAGATATTTTATTGCCAGTACGTCATTCCTTCACTCAAAAATTGCCTCCAGTATTATTGGTAGTTGGTGTGGTTACCAAGTCCACTAATTTTGACCAATTATCAACAATTTTAATAAAGCACACAAATAGAAATAATACAAATTGTTCTTACTGTTATATAATATATTTTTACTTATGGTATACGGGGACGGAGGTTGTTGCAAGCAATACATGATTATTTAGGGGAGAGTTAAGCAGGTGTTATAGGCATGTTATGGAAGGGAGAGGGTATATTCAAAATGCTCCATATTTGCGTTGCTGATTTTAGGAACGGCCCTTAGAAGTGTAATATTTCAAAGACTTGAACCCTTTTATCAATAATTATTCTATATTATCCTTTTTTATTGCAAACAATTATATTATTAATGATATTTTATTATGAGCAGTATGATAAGAGTTCTTATTGTATTATAAACTTTGATAAAACAAATGTTTAGAATTATTCGTAAAGTATTAATAATAGATTTATGAAAGATAGGACAGAAAATGATAAAAAGAATTGTTTTAAATCATTTTAGGAACTTCAAAATCACTTTTTTAAGACATATGATTCTAAGGCAATGTAACATTGAAAAACTGTTGATACATATTTCATGTATCTCAAAAGTATATTATTCACATAGATCAGCAAGCAAATATTTTTTTAAAATTGAACTGTAAATGACATGAAACATCAAAAGCATCAAATTAAAAGGATTGGTGCCAACTCTGCACGCTCAGAAACAGACGGGAGAGGAAAGAAAACATAAATTTCTACCCTCATTAATGAAGTAGAATTCTTCATGGCTCGTTTCTTCAGCTTGTAATACTTTGCATATTAGTTCCCTACTTTATTGCAATCAAATTGTGTAAAATTAACAAATCTAGTAAAATAAATATACAAAATATGGAAAAGTGTTGAGCATAGCAACATCTTATAAGAAAATACTTGTATTATTAAACTTATGAGTATGATTAAATTTCACTCAGTGAACAACCAGATGTTTCTTTAGGCCTTTAGTGAAAAGTATACATCGGGTACAAATTAAGAAAACTTCAGATTTTAAAGAACAGAACAATATATGTGACAATGAATAATTAACATATTTAGGGAATACAGTTATACATAAACTTCAAAAGAACTAACAAAATAAAGCAGTCACATTTGTAACACTTAACAAAAAAGTAGGAATTTACAAAAATTATTTTACAATGTAGAAATAACATTTCAAATAGGTGTTATACATTTTATTAAGACTTCTCTTTCAAATAAAGTGATGAATCTTCTTTTTCCAAATTGAGCACAGTATACACATCACATAAATAATGCATGATGTTTTAAAATACCATTATTTTAAAACAAGGGCTGTGCTGATCATATTGCATGACTAATTCACGTTGAACTAAATCATACTAGTGTCAGTCAGCTATGGAAGCCTGGTTTCATTGAGAAAAAAACAGCACTAGAATTATGTATGACAATTTACATGGTGAGGAGATTTGACAATGATTGTGCTTTCTTTTCTACTTCTACCCACGGAAACACATATCAAACAGTGACAAAGAAGTTCAGTAGTATAGCAATACTTCAAACTATTTCTGAGCATTGATTGCAATTCCTTAAGAAATTTGAGTATGCCTTACTTGCATGCTTTGAAAGTCAATATTAATTTAGCACATAAAAGCACAGCCCTAACAATTAATACTGAAAATGATCACAAATAAATAACAATGGGAAGACAAACTGTAACAGATCTCTATTCCACAAACAAGTGGCAAGAGTATGAATACAATTTCCATTACCTGCAGTAATAAAACTTAACAGGACTGAATAATTCCAGTTGAGGAGATTCCTCATCTCTGTAGATAACAAGAGCTTCATCCAATCAAAATGGTGTTTGGATCTGCTTCGTGTAAAAGGACAGCAGCTTACAGGAATGTCATTAACTTCTAATGAATGTAGAAGTGACTTGAAGTTCAGGCTAAATTGTACATAATTTGTATTAAAGTCTGCTATAAAGGGACGCAATATTATTCCATATTCCTTAGGGATATTAAATTCATATTCCATGAGGCATATGAGTAGGAGTTTTTGGAGGCTGGATTGGCAGATCTTTATCGGACGGTGATTTGGACCCTGAAAAAAGATAGTTAAACATGAAAATACTAACATGGTACAAAGAAAAAAAAAATTATATATATGGACAGCCAAAATTATATGAAAAAATTAATATTAGTATACAAATAATACAATTGAGTATCAATAATTGGGATTAACTCCTTCAGATTAGTAAATTGTCATTTATCACAATTAACCAAATAAGAATAAGTAAACACTTTCAACACAACAAAAAGCTGAAATTATTTAATTTTCTCTGATGGTTACAAAGATGGAGTGGGTGAATAAAACCTTGAAAGTAGTAATCATCAGTAGTAAAGTGCTTGCTTGCACCAATGTTCTCTTAAGTACTTGAAAAAATATTATGTAATTGGACAAGTGAAAATTCTTTTTTCAGGAAAAAAGATAAGGCATAATAATATGTGATTTCAGGAATATTTCTCTTAGATGCATATTACTTGTAATATATTGTTGCCATTAATACAAGTAGTTAATAATATTTAAGAATAATTTATTTAAACTGAAAAAAATCATAAAATTTCAATTCTTATTTATAGCATAGTTTGTATCTATGAATTAAGTTGGACTAATTTTCTGCAATCAATACTTATTATTAAATGATTATGTATTGTTGGTTTAAAACAAGTATGTACAGTATTGGCACTCTGCTATATTAATTCCAATTATTGACACTCTATGTATTAACAAATGGAAAATATAGAAATCAAGGAGCTATCTTGAAAGTGAAGAGAGAAAGCAGTACCAGTTCTTGTTATAACTGGTCAGTACACACAAAGTAATTAATAAGAGTTTTGGAAGAATTCTCGTGCAATTCTACTAAGAAGCAATCTTGAGAAGAACATACTATTATAGCAAAAGTTATTCACAATAATATGGATTGGAAAAAGTACATACTATAGTTCACTATCAAAAGAAATTTCCTGCACAGACATTTTACATTCATTAATTCTAAAATATATTTGGATATTTTTTGCAGTAGCTTTATGACAAAGATTTCCTGGAAAGATGCTAGTATGCACTTTAAATAGTAATATCATGCAATTTATGCGTTACAATTCCCAAACAGTAGGTTCAGTGTGTGAAAAAATTGAAAGAATGTTATGTTTTAAAATACTGTTTTCAAATCCATAGAAAATGTCATTATTTTAGATATATTTCATATATCTAAATTTATAATAAGTATTTATAAACCATGCACTGCTATTCAGAAATTAATTAAGTCAATAAGTTCTACCTTGCCATGCAACACTTGCAAATTATCTATTTGATAAGTTAAAATAAAATGTGTAGAAATGAACTACACAACTGTGTTGATAATAAATCTTAATTAGAGTGTGATTCAAAATGCATACTCTCAAAATGCATGCAAGAAGATGAAACAAAAAGAGTATGGGAAGGGGGAGAGAACTTTTTAAGCTTTCATTTCCAAAGACAATCTCAAACAACAACATCAAATCTAAAAAACATTTATATAATTGATTAAAATTTTGAAAATTGGTAAAGAGAGGCACAGAGAAAACCAGCTGTTGTAACTGGTGTGTTTTGCTGGATGGGGAGTTTCATAATGTGGAGGACTTGCTTGTTACTTGGTTTTTCATGACTAGCGTGTATCAATGGGAAAAAACACTCCATAAACATGTTGCTTGAGTCAGTCAACCATGTAAGATCTCTTTCCAGGAACATGGAAAGTGGTTCATCACCAATCTGTTAACACTGTCACAATAAAATATGAATGTAGCACAGAATGCATATGTTTGTTAAAATTTCTCTTCACATTCCAAATGTCACAAAGAGCATGCATAAAACTCAGTTAATGATAAGATTAAATTGTTGATTTATAGGCGATTCAAAATCTGAGATACAACTATTCTGAATAAAATCAATTTTGAATGCAATGGGATTTGTGGCTTACAGCCCTAGTGCAGATATTTGGGTCTCATAAATCACCTTTGAGCAATATTGGAAATGGACCAAAAACTTTGTCGTGCACTGTCCCTTGCAAATGAGCTACCAATTCAATTTGCTGCCAATGTGCTGCAAGTGTAGCATAACACAATAATATGTACAAGACTTATTTAAAAGGTATATTGTTGCTGAACTGTGAAAGTGGATCCATTGGTTGAAGTTGTCTGTGTTAGCTGGTTTCCCTCACCTTCTGTTACCATCAATACAGACACCTACGGTGCTTGATGTGTTTCTTGCGAGGATGGTTAGGGCAGGGAAGGCCCACTAGATGCTGTCTCCAACCGTCCTCCCAAGGAGGAATATTTGTGTGACACAGTGGACAGTGATTGGCCACAGAGGTAGCTTCTGCAGCTGTAAGAAGACATTTAGATATTACATTCAATTCACTCTTTTGGCTGCAATGTAGCAATTTCAAAACAAATTAATACAGTAAGTTGATAGTTTGTGTGTTTGCAATTGCTGCAATTGCAACATATATTGATGCAACATGGTGTAGAAAGAGTTGCAATTTAATATATGATAAACTAGTGGTGCTGCCACATAGCACAGATTTTATTGTTTCAGTATTCTAATATCTGTGGTCTGGATTAGCGGTTTTGCTTTTTGCTCCACCCTCTTCTCAGCTGCAATAGATTACTGTCAAAACATTTATTACATTTTCTCAATTTCTCCGACCACAAATTGTACAACTAAAACACGATGTTAAGAATGTTATAGAAATATAGAAAATGTCATTTGAAAATGCTCAGTTCAAATCTTATTTTCACAGAAAACTTAAACACGTATATCATTTGAAACATTTCTACTCGCTATTGCATGACGTACAAGAAACGTCTGTAATTTAAGTATTAACAATGTGAGAAGTATTTTGAAACAATTACATTTATGTAGTTTTGAAAAAATCAAAAGAATTAATTAAAATGACCTTAACGTCATTTTATTTTGTGGATTCTGCACTATCCATACAAAAAGTTTAAAGGAAATTTTACAAGCCGGTTTTGAAAAAATGGCAAATTTGAGTAAATGTTTTGGGTTTACGAAAAACTGTTATCGATAAATGGAATAAAATGTACAAACTGCCGTTAATGTAAATATTAATGTCATGAGAGAAAAATCAAAAAGTTACAGTAGAGTAAATTTTTGATAAATAAAAAAAAAAACACAGGAGAATGGCGTTTATTTAATCTTAAACGGTGCATTTAGTACTAGTCGTGCACAAATTTGAAGCTGATTTGAAAAAAAATATTTTTAATATTGCTCACATTTCACACACAATTGCGCAAAAACTACTAAAATTTTCAAAAAAGTACTTTATGTTAATTAAAAAACGAATTTTGAAATCATAGTTGGAATAAAATCGCTTATTGTCTAATTGCCTAGAAAATTGTCTTGAATGAAGAAAAAAATTCTTGAATGTTAGGAAATCGCCGAAAAAATTCAAACTTGTTAATTTAAAAAATTCAGAGTTTTATAAGTGAAAATCAGACCCATGCCATCTTTGTACATGTATATCACTATGATTACAACAATTTTTTTAAAAATACAATTGAAGCCATTTTTTAAAAATCTTTAGAAAAATGTCTCAGAGAAAATGTAGTGTCGTCAAAATTTAAAGAAAATATTTCTAAATCGTAGGGAATATGAAACTTTTAGTTGGCCAGATCAATCTGGGAATACTCATTTTGAAAGAAAAAACAAACAAACAAACAAACAACGAATAGTCTAGGCGCAAGTGTCTAGACAAACACAGGCGGATGGACGGATGAATGGACATACCGACGGACAGAGACAGTGGTTTTGAAAAAGAAAAATAAAGTTTTTCGGATTCAAAATGCTCATGAAGTCAGTTGAAATCCTGAAATCGATTTTCCGCAGTATTACATAATTTTCTCTATACCGCTTTTTTTATTCCGTATATACGCATGTATACGAGGGGAAAAAAAACATTAAATGATATGAGCAAATTAAAAAAAATCTAGAGAGACTAATCCAATAATGTACATTTTTTTTACAATATTCATTTCAGTTGTTGGTCTTCTACTCTATTTTCTTGTAACTTGCATATAACTCAAACATTTTTGAAAGGTTACTATTCATGTTCAAAAGAACAAGAGAATTGACGCCCGGAAACGAACACTCTCCCGTGACGGGCTGAGAACGATTCCTTCGAACTCCTTTGTTTGGTTGCTGACGTTATTCAACTAAGAGCTGTCAAGCGGTGTGCAGGCTGCCTATTCTTGACGGCTGATATTGAGAGTTTACTGTCGCATCGCGGCCTTCTCATTGGCGGTTTGCTTCTTCACTCTCCCCAAACTCTTCCTTATCTTCTCTCTCAACAATGGCATTTTCGGTAGCAGCAAGGCTCTAAAAAGATGAAAATTTTCATCCGCCATTTTCGACCCTTGCTTAGCGTATTTTGAATGGCGACGTGTTAAATCGTATAAAGTTCAATATGCTTTTTTCCCCCGAGTATTAACATGTTTACAAAAGTGGCTTAGAGCGTCATCTGAGTCACTGCAGTGCCTCTGAGCAGGGGGTCCTAGGGTTGGAGTGCCGACGCTGGCAGGATTTGCGACACTGGCTACGGAGCTAGGTCGAATTTAGCCGCCGTCTGGAGGACAATTCAAATGCTGCTCGGTAGTTTTCCGTGGTTTCTCCAACCAACACCAGGCGAATGCCGGAGCAGTACACTAACAAACGGGCCAAGGACCAATGATCTTCCCTTCTTTGTTCTTTCCTCCCCCTTACACGAACTTAAACTCGCACGCACTATATTACCTCATATGTCAGGAGACCAGTCGGGAGCTTCGAGCGTCTCCCGGCTGAGGCGGTGCCCCGCTGTTGGGAGATACCTGGCTGGAGAAACCCTCACTGGCTGACGGTAGGTCAACGCCGGATCTCGCCAGACAGCGAGGAAGGATATCGCCGCCACGACCCGCGATAAAAACATGCACGTACGCGACTAATTGACCTTAACAGTTTAGACACACCCGGCATCGCTAATCAATCAGTATTAATATGGTATTGTAATGTTTGTGTAAAGATGCTCTGTTAAAGAATATCGTTGAAAAACTAGGAATATACTTTTTTGGGGGGGGTAATGAACTCATACTTGCTATTGTTGTAATACCATGGGCGTCTGTGGGTTTGTGAATTTGGGGGGGGGACATCAAAGGGAGTGTGCACCTCTGCAGAATATTAGCTCAAGTTAAGACATTTGTTATTAAGGAGATATTGAAGGTAACGCCTTATGTATAAAAATGTCAAATTATGCCGCAACTATTTATGAAATCAATAATAAATCATGACAGTAAATTTAGAAAACGACGACAGCCACAGATAAGAAAGAGGCCGCGATGAGAGCTGTGGAGTAGAGATGCGACATCGATAACAAAACATCGATGTTCAAAGTTAAAAACATAGATGTTAAAAATACATCGACTGAAAAACCATTTTTTTTTCCAACATCGATGTTTTTAGACTCGTTTAGTCACATTTAATTGTGTTAAAACTCAATTTGGCAGTGTGCATGTTTATCAATTTGCCGAATAAGGTACGAGAAATACGTTTATAATTTTAAAAAAGTACGAGAAGGATAAAACTCTACGCCCATTGCGTATTTGTTGACCACATCTCAATGTGTGAAATGAATACAAAGAAGAGGACACACTCGTACAAGGGCGTGGGGGCCATCTCGGGCGAGAGGGTTTTGTCGATGAAGGTAATACAGCATTCATTTGGTTCCAATACATGATCAGTGTTACCATCAGTTATTATTTCATATTTTAACTTATACAGAGTTGACTTCGTGAAATTTTCAATTCAGAAACAAAACATCGAAAAAGGAAAAACATCGATGTTAAAAGACCTTTCAAACGAGAATGAGAATAGACCTTTCAAAAACTAGCAACCTTTAAAAATGATCTTCAAATGACAAATACAAGACCTTTTGTAGAAGTGAAAATGCCTCAACTATTTATGAAATCAATAATAAATCATGACAGTAAATTTAGAAAACGACGGAAGCCACAGATAATCGTTAATGTAACATTGCAAGTCTAATGAGACACGTGTGAGTTTATTTCGTTTACTTATACTCCACACTGAAATTTATGAGGGGAAATGCTTTCAGCCAAACACAAATATTTTTTTTTATATTTAATTAAATTAATATTTCATTTAGCAGCTGAGAAATCTTTTGATCCATTGTCTTACCCCAACAATTATCAAAATATGCCCTGAACATTTTGGACACTGCAAATGAAGCAGAATAACTGGCGACTTTTCAAATGGCCGCAATATTTATTACAGAAGCAAAGGGGTTAGAATGTTCCCGCCCGTGTTCTATATTACCTACCATTTAGTTACAATAGATTGGTGGACTATAAAACAACAAATAAATGCTTGATAAAGCATTTTATCATTTTAAAGTAGTTCTTAAGTTGCCCATGCACTAGGAAACGCGGTTCACTAGCCTAATTTGCGACAATTATAAATCTGTGTAAATCATATTTACAGCATGCTAAAAATCGGCGCAAGCCAGGCTTGCGAACCTCGCCCCTAGTGTATGGTCACCAAATATGAATGTGCGTTATACTTGTACAAATGTTTGTATAACTTTGAATTGGTTCTTTTAGCCCATGCTATAAAAACAACAAATCAATATTTTGAAGAGACTTCTCAGCAACAAAAAAGACGCCAGGACTAATCTCCGAAAATCTCGAAATGTAAATAATGCCCGTAAGAGTTGCCTAAGGAAGACGCCGCCTCGTCAACAATATTTCAACTTTAATGGCCGTTGTCTGTCAGCTTTAATTTTCAAAAATTAAATGAAGACAACGTGCTTCTTTAAAATTTCTTTTTCATGTAATTTAATGCAGCGACAATAAATGTAGCAACAGTGAATAGTTCTTTTCCCGTCATTTTTTAAAATTGCCTGTTACTCTGCCCCAATCTCTGCTTTCATTTACCTGTGCAGTCCACTGACGAAACATGCTCGTCAAAGAAATCTGCCAAAACCGCTTCTGTGCATCTTTCACACTTCTTGTAGAGATGTTTCATATCACACTCTTCTGAAATAGCAGAACCAATGTATTTTTTTAAGTTTTTCTACAAAATCTAAATGCTTATGTTTCAAACTAGATGCATTTCAACAAACACGTGAGAAAAGAGATCAATAAATATATTCAAGTGATTAACCAAACTAAGATTAATAAATGCAGATTATAATCACTTTCCGCTCATAAATTCTCAGTTTTCTTCTGCTTTACAATTATAATGAAATGTCATAGTAGTGATAGAAAAACATTTTGTTATTCGTTTAGCACCAAAACCAGCTCATTTCCTTTGCAAAAAATAAATAAATACAAGGGAAGCTAAAATCTCGCTCGATACACTTGACAGTTTGACTTGAACGAGAAATATTCTTGCCATATTTTTGGTGGGAAATAATCTGGATTTTAACTCTACCCGTTCTGGCTGTGAAGGAGTAGGAGGGTCCTGAATTTATGATGAACCCCCTGTAGTAAAAATGCAAGGAAGTGAATTTTGGAATGAACTTAAATAGAACACAAACGCCTCAATTAAAAAAAACTTATATTAAATATTTTGAGCAAAGTTGTTAGAATATATCACTTTTAACAAATTTCCTTTCTCAATTGTTTACCTACCTAAGAGATGCTGGGAAAACAAGGCAATTTCAACAACTTGCTTGCAATGTGCACATCGTAAAAGCATGGGACAAGAGCGCCAGTAATGGACATTCAAACCTTCTTCTGTAAACGTTTCTGATCTTGCAAGACAGAAAATGCACATTCTGTAACATAGGAAATTTTAAAGAAGCAAAGCTCAAAATAAGTTATATCTTCGTTAACGACCATATGAATTTCTTTGAAATGAATCAATTTTAAAAATTAAAAACTCAATTTTTGTATGAATTTTGTAAAGTTAATTAATTCTTGTAACAATGTTCCAAACTTTATTGGGCATTTACACGGCGTAATTCCCCTCGAACGTAGTAATTGCGTCATAATGCAATTGTCTTTCTTCCCTAACAGTCAGGGGCTTATTGCATTTAGTATCGAGGGCTCCTAGACATCATCTATCCAGGGACCCTCGATGTCTCGAGCCCTTTTTCTCTGTGACTTCACGACGCGTGGTTAAGTAACTCGGTTAATGTCGCTGGTCAGTATATGGTCGTTACCGAAAATACAATAACTTAATATAGAACACAGTCCTAAAATCAGGTACAAACGTACGAAAAATTACATTTCATTGCGAAGTTTGATTTTTTGTTCATTAAATTGTACTGGCAAATGTTTCTCACTTCTTATAGGCCGTGGCCTCTAAATGTCAGCATTTTGGGGTTCTTTGAACTTACTTGTCATCTCCAGCGTCGTGTTGGGAAGTATCACTTGGTGAAGTGATGGCACTTGCAGATGACGATGAGCTACCTGTCTGTTGACCTGACCCTTTTGTGCTAACTGCAGCATTGTTGCTAGGGCAACTGGTTGTGTTGTTGAACATATTTGCTGCCCGAGCAGCTTGCTTGTTTTTTTCCAAAATTTCTTTCTTACGCTATAAGAACAATGTATTATTATAAAACATTTAAAGTATTTTTATCAAGTTTTATAACTGTAATATAAAAGCAAATATTTGCATCGGAAATAATCGAAACACTCCCAAAGCAATGTTTTACAATGAGTACACCACTCGTGAAATTAAAACCAACAGTGTTTAACTATACATACAAAATGCTCTAAAGAGGGCGGTGTATCTCAAAAATATTTTATCGCTTTTTCTATCCTATTTTTCTTGCCGCTTCTCCCTACTGGCCAATCATGAACTGTGGCTCATCTATCTTTAGTGGCGATATACTACAGCGATCGATGTGTCGCATGTGATTTTAACATAGATTTCAGTGATTTTCAATATTTGGCGCATTTTGGAACTCTGTTTGACATAATTTTACTCGTGGAATAGTACTATTAAATATCACTCGTACTTGAGAAATTCTCAGATAAATCCCCTCCTCACTTCGCGAGTTGCGAATTCATCGACAATTTCCAAAGCACCCGTGGCATTAGCTATGATAATGCTCACTGAAGCAATGAAAAATCTTAATATGACTAAGTACGCTTAAACTATTTTCTTAGAATATATTATTTAGTGTATATATTATATCGTTTTACTCACAGATTTGGGATTGTACACATTTTATTCATTGGGAAAGAAAGTCAAAGATGTCTGGCTCTGCTTGCCAGTTAATAATTAATTCGGCAAAAGAAACATCAGTATCCTTTCAACGAAAATATGTTGTATTTTCTACTAGTAAGCGTATGACGATATTTTTGTTTTGTTCTGTTATCTCTCCCTTTCATTTTTAATATTAAATTCCTATCATAATCCCTTTTGCAGATTGTACCTGTGCCCTTGCAGATTCTACTCTTTAACATTAGATTGAGATGTAAGTACCACTTATTTCTGTTAAATATGAAAGAAGTAACTTTGCAAGTAATTATAATATTGAAGTACCGTTATTAATTTGAATTATTTTTCTAATACACTACGAGTATTTCCTAATGAGATATTTTTACCCCCAATAATTATGTAATTTTTGTGAATGTTTTGACCAACGAATTCAGGCTGCACAATGAATTGCTTGTAAATACCTTAAAGGTGCCAATTACTTATACCAATATTGTCGGAAATATCTTGTGTTTTCAATAATAGAAGATACTTTCTCTTTCGAGTAGTTGAGTTTCTAATCATCTTTGTAGTATAATAGGTACAAAATGATGAGTGGTTTTTTAAAAACTGGCCATAACATTTGTCCGGACAGTGTTGAGGAGGTTATTTTATTGCGCGATAGAGTATAGTTGTATATGCATAGTTATAATTTGAGTTTCCTACACATGTTAATTTTTAAGAATGAACGGCGAACGAATTCACAATCAAGAGAAGTGAATTTGTGTTATTATTAGTTTATATCCGTGTTTTTTGTTGATATATATAAAGAAATTAAGAATTATCAAGTTCATTAACACTCGTGTTTTTGTTTATAACCAGTGTGATCTCGATTATACTAATCAGTCGCCGGTTCATTTTCAATTATCGACCCCTTGATCATCATTGACCACCTGACCCCCACTGCCTATCGCAAATCTGCGAAATCAGACAACCGGTAGTACTTCACTTCTGAAGGAAGATGTACGAAACAGTTTTCCCCTTAAAATTCAATGATATAGTAATCTGCTAAGTCGTGTATAAGAGTTTGATAAACTTGAAGTCGCAGTGATGCTGTTGTTATTTTTACTATTATAATTATCATCACTATTCTGATTATTATATTATGATGATTATTATTACTATTATTATTATTATTATTATTATTATTATTATTATTATTATTATTAATTTCGCCGGTTGAGATCATTTCGTTGAGGAACACCTAGTTGATGGCGTAGGCGGGGGGTTACCTGAATGTCGATGCGGTCGAACTCGTGGAAGAGCTGGCGGTAGAGCAGGTTGCGGCGCGTGATGTCGTCGTCGGGCGGCAGCTGCTTGCGCACGAGACGCGGGTTGACGCGGTACACGAGCGTGAGCACGCGCTCCGCCACCTTGCGCACGGCCTCCGCCGGGTGGTGCAGCCCCGACGCGCCCAGCTCCGCCAGCGTGCGGCACGTCAGCCCGCTGCGAAGCCACGCGGGGAATCAATCGCGGCCCACACCGGCAAGCTCGGCTCGCGGGTCTGGCTCTTGGATAGTTTGCAAGCCGCGCTTGCTCGTGTATGGCAATCATTGAGTTTGCAAGTGTTACAGTCCCAAGTGCGTTAAGTCCGCCCGCTGCGCAACCACATTGATGGATCAAGCACAGCTAGGCTTATGGTTGGCATCAGGGTGCATCTACTGGCAAGCTCGGCTCGCAGGTCTGGAAATCTACCTCCGCCTCGTTGCTGCGTCGTCGGATCAGCTAGAGCTGGCGACGCAGGCTTATAATGTGAAAAAGTTTTGCGAGCCGAGCTTGCTCGTGTATGGCAATCATTGCGTTTGCAAGGGTGGTACAGTCCCAACGTGCGGCACGGCCGCCCACTGCGCAACCACATGGTGGGTCAAGTACAGCCAGGTTATGGTTGGCATCAGGGAGCATCCACTGGCAAGCTCGGTTCGCAGGTCTGGCTCTTGAAAATCTGTCGCTGCCGCATTGTTCCCTCAATGGAACAAGTAGTGGCAACGCCATGTTTACGAAGTCAGGATTGCGAGCCGAGCGTGCTCATGAATGATCACTGTTATGTTCACTTGAGTGGCTCTATCCTGATGCTGCAGCATGCGGCTCGGCGGGCCAAGCACAGCCAAGGCCGAAGCCTCGCTACCTACACGGAAATGAGTTGCGAAGCGTCAACTGGCGAAAATAAGGTCAGATTAGGCTAAGTGGTATCATGTAATAGAAATGTACGACACTGACAGTATGGAACTTGAAACTTCCCATCACATCCCACCAACGTAATAAACTTGCCACCAACAGTCTGTTTCACGTTTAGTTTTATCAACGCAATTCATCACCATAAATAACTTCACCTACGCAAACCACCTCATGTTGTCAACCTTATCCATCTAAAGTCTAAAGTATTATTGGAAACTGTTTCTACTTCGAGCTTTATCCATCAAGTTTTTGTAATGCGAAAATTCACTGGGTAATTCGGTATTTAGTCAGTTTCGGATTTTCGCCTGACATAAACACAATTCCGATAATGGAATACAATTGTAAGAGAATCATATCATCAAGTCTGCAAATCGGCACGAGTGCTGCGCTCCAGTGAGGATATTTGAATGTATACTAGTAGATGTCGTACAATCGTGTTGTCATAATTTGTTCGTTACAGGGACATTATGTGTATGGGTTATGGGCACTACAAAAGGTGTTGCTGTGTTGTCTGAACTGTTCAACGGCAATGAGTATTGTATTTGAATTAACATTGCTGGAATAAGGGTATTTGGGCTATAAATAAATGTTCAAACCTGTACTGAAAGAGCGATCATTTCCACTAGACGTCAATATTAACTTTAACCACAGGTTGTGTATTTCTATACAGCTTTTCCTCGTAGCAAGTCACCAACCCCCTAAATTCCTTTCGCGTTGCACTGACAGTTTTCCGCGCGCTTCACCGTCTGTGCAACGACCTGCCCCACGGCGTGTGGTTGCGTATCGTAAACGACGAAGAGCGCCTCGCGAGCAGCGAGGGAGCGGAGTGTCACCTGTTCTTGTCGGTGGAGATGCCGTGGCTGAGCACCAGCTGCTCCACCATCTCCAGGCGGCTGAGCGCGAGGCGCGGGTGCGTGGAGCTGGTGAGCGGCCGGCTCAGGTGCACCGGGATCAGGTTCAGCTCCCTGCGCACGCCACACACGCCGCATTTGTAACTATATGTTTTATTATGGCTTACATACGTTAAAAAAATTATCTGCATTATTTTGATTTTCAATGCGCGCGGAAATTAAAAGGTAACTGATCATCCTCCGGTCATGAGACGTGTCTATGGTTTTGTTACATACCGACGAAACTGGAAAAAACACACAAAAACAATGAAACAGTAATTTAGTCTGAAAAATGAAAATATTTGATTGTGTTTTTTCCACTTATTCACGTACTACACGTAACAAATGAATTATCATACTCAGTCAATCACTGTTTATGATATAACGTGAAGCGACAGAAAGTTTCAAGGAAAAGTCCGCCCCCCAAAAAATTTGCTATTAACGTATTGCTAATTATCGAACGGCAACTGTTTTCATAATATTGTATGTAAATAACTGCGGGAACATAGTCTCCTTCACTTATCCAATCTAACCCATCTCCCCATCCATGATCGTTCTCTCATCGTCACACGTGCAATCAATTCGCGAAGCGGAAGGACGCGCAGGCCTTCGCCCAGCGGGCAAGGGCCGCGAGCGTGGGCGCTCACCTGACCTCCTGGCAGTCGGCCATGCTGAGGATGGTGTGGACGGCCATGTTGTGGATGCGCGGCGTGGTGTCGCCCGACTTGGACAGCAGCTCGGGCAGCAGGCGCTCCACGCTGCGCGACACCTCGGCCGCCGTCACCCTGCGCAGCGCGCGCGGCGGGCGCGTCAGCCCCACGGCCAGGGCGAGCTGCGGAGCTACACGCGCACTCGGCGACAAATGTGGCAAACGGGTTGATATGTGCATTCGGATGCGTCTATTAAAATGTAAAGACTTTTTAATTTCGATTTACTTTTAAACCAAAATTAGACATTTCCTTAGTTATTTAAGGTCCTACAAGACGTTCTTGTAGGGTCCCACTTTAGGAACTTGAAGAAAGCTTTTATTACCGTCTATGCTGCAAGCGTGTTCCAGATTAGGGTTAGAGGATGTTAGAAATCCTATATTTTTGCCTTTTACGGTAACTACACATTTCAATGGCCCTTTCTCATATGTTAAAAAGGAAAGGAAAATCACGAAAGTTTTATTTTGTCGCTGAAAAAAATGGGTGGGAGATATGAGTGGAATTTGATTTATTTGAATTGGTTTACAGCTTTTTCGGCGTAACTGAATTACTGCAGGACTGCAGGCGTAATTGGACTCTGACCGGGAGGTCCCGGTAGGAATTTCATACTAGCTAGGTCGAACGGCTACCGCTGTCTGGAGGAGAAGTCTAGCGGCCGGCTGGTCTCGTCCTCACCCCAACGTACACTTCCTGGCACAACACCACCACACGTACCGATAGACCAGACGGAAGCTTAGAGCAAGTCCTGGCCAACGCAGTGCCCTGCTGGAGGGAGATACCTGGTTGAGGAAAACCCCGCAAGCCAAGGGGTAGGTCGGGGCCGGATATCGCCACCACCACCCCCAATGATAAGAGACACTACACTGACGGGACCAATGACCTTAGCAGTTGAGTCATGAATGCATCAATTCCGGAGACGTTGAAAGAGTAGAAGAGGGCTAGCGCGGTGGCCGGGTGGGCGCGTACCTGGTGGGCACGAACTCGGTGAAGAAGATGCGGATGGCCTCGGCGGCGAGCGAGTAGACGGAGTAGACCTTGTCGCGCAGCGCGCGGTGCAGCAGGAAGACGGCGGCGCGCGCGGTTTTGTTGGGCGGCGCCTGCGGGGCGCGCGTGCTCTCGCCGCTCGCCTGCGCGCGCAGCTCCTCCTTGAGCAGGCGCAGCCCCTCCTCCTTGTCCGAGAACTGCTTCGAGAAGAACCTCTCCACCTGGCGAGCACGCACGCGCGCGCGGCGGCAACGCGAGGGACGTAAGGGCGTGCACAGCTGCGCAGCATTCCACATGGGTTTTTAACAAGCGATAACTTTTTTTTCATATTGCGACCACTCTGATTGTTTCAATTGTTGGGGCAGCTGAGGGAAGACCACGTAAGGACAAAAGAAACATCCATATCCGAAGTGGAATTCGAACCCGCGACCCTTCGAGCCGAGGCATTTCGGCTAGTCAGCCTTAGGGACCTCGGCAATCCAGGCCGGCAGGGTTAACTTTGTGTGTCTCATCACATGCGTTTTTATCCCTTTAGGCCAGGCCTGGCAAAAGTCATATGCCTACGACAGTGATCCAGGTCATCTGCGGCTCGCTGATAGCCACCGGGGTCACCACGCATTGCTTTAAGCTCGACTCTCAAAAGAGTTCCAACGTGACGCGCTTACCTGTGTTCTCTCAGACTTCCAGGCCAGAAATACTTCCGTATGTTTACGTATTACTAATTAATGGATAATGCACCATAAATATTACGTTTTCTGGTCAGTAATGGCTTTTATGGAGAACTAGTTCGTTACTGCGTGTTTATGGACCTCAAACCAACATATTAATGGTGTGTTTAGTCCCGGTACTTCACCAGCACGATAAATAACTCATTTTTCTGGATTCGATTTATTAAACTTAAGTTAATTTTAAGAAACTTTAAAATTTAATAAATAAAGTGCATAATTATCAAATAAAAATAATTCTGTATAAACATTATTTACTTAAATTAATATAAAATTGCAATTTTGAAATGTTCCTGTGAATTTTAAATTCCCATTTCTCTGTTACGTATTGCTTTTTCTTCTATAGGCACACATGCTTCTAGAGTCATAGTAGTACTAGTAGTAACAAAATGTACAAAGCACAAGCCTCAGGCCCTCAGATTGGAAAGAACCTTCGAAGCAAAAACATCTACTTAAAGCCCTAGACACACTATATTGCTGCTTATAATTATATTTTTGGTGATGTTAATGTGAAAAAATAGCGAAAAATGATGTAATCTAGGTATCAATATTGTTGATGCTACTTAAAATCTTTTCGATCGCTTAGTGAGCATTGCTCCAGTAGTAGACGTCTCGCACTTGCGAGAAACTGCAGACTTTAGTTTTCCGCCAACGACACACGATCCAGTTTGCTTACGCATTTGTCACAGCACTTAACAATATATTTTGTAATAATAACTTGTCCATTTTTTAGCGTTAATGATGATCGTTATGCGGTTTAAAAGATCTTAAGTATTAAAAATATTCATACCTAGAATACATTTTTACAATACATAAATAAATATTAACTTTTTTATGTTGGCTGTGCTTGCAGATGTATCATTAGAATCTCCTCAAACCGCGTCAGTGGGGCAGACGGGAAAGCGGATAAGGGAAAGGAAGGGAAGGAAGTTACCCGAGTGGTACCCCTGGTATTTTCCAGGCCACGATGCCCTGAATCTAGCTCTTTGGACAGCCCTCTTTGAGCTCTGGCCCATTCCAATCGTATGTGTCCGACCGCATCGACGTTGCTCTTAGTGCTTTAAGGCCTTAAAGAGTTAAAGGAAAATGCTCCTTCGGGCGGCCAGTTCCTTTTTTGATCTGCCTCTGCCGCGAAAAAAGGTTTTTGGCTGTAATAAATGCATACGATACGACTTGGACACTTTGTAACTAATTACGAAAACTTATCCTACACCACGTCCTAATAGTTAACGTTAGAATCAGCCTATCGTCTTCATACTTGTGATGTCATATTGGTAAATTACACATCAGATATTGGGTAGTTCTACAATAAAATAAACTGAAGATGTTAAAACCTGTTTAAAATCTTGGTAGTTTCAAAAACAGAATGACAATTTATTATGATTTTTGATGAATTATTTTACACCTTTAAACCATCCACTACAGTTAACATTTGAGAGAGGTCAAATTATGAATAGTTGGCGCAATGGTGTCTACAATTATTTACATTAAGAGCAGTGGAAGATTTTATACCTTAAACCTGCGGCACACGCGGGATAAAACTTATTCGAGCACACGCAGTGATCTCTCAGATGCATCATTTGAGTTTTAGCTTACATTGCTTCAGAAACTGACTCTTGGGTGTTTCAGTCACAAATACACCTTAAGCCCATTCAATTAGCGTTGAAACTTCAATACTTTATTTAACTATAATGTTTATCAATAATAAGAACAAGATATAGATTATAAAGTTGTATCAGTTGTAAATTGTACTAAACGTTCCGTCTAGCGATGTGCTGCACTGCCCACTGTTTGATATCGTGACGACAGTATCAAGTCTATCGGCACGAACTGGAAGCTATGAAATCTAAAAACAATTATAGGGGGGTTCTGAGAACAACGGTATTCTCAAAATTTTCTGTCACTTTATCAACGCGAGAAAAACTCAGTTATCTGAGAGATCGCGCGGGCCAGAGGGTTAAGGATCTAGCAGGCTCCCCGTCAGCCAGCTTTAGTGCTCTTAACTGGAATCGTAAATGGACAACAGAGGATGGATCGTTTCCTCTTCCGTACAATAGAGGAGCTGGAAGAGATAGGAGGTCTTGTCACTTACTGTGTTATATAAAAGCATTGTGTAGAAGAGAGAGGGCGTTATTAATAGCCTTTGAGCTCGTGAACCTGCTCTAAAGTGAGCACCAGTTTCTAAGAGTATTAAGACGACTACACAGACTTCAGCGGCCAGAGCTCAATGCATTAATCTTCGCTGTCAAAGAAACTCCGTGACTTTGCTAGACAAACATTTTCATTTTCTAACTCGACTTTCGTCAGGGCACAATAGTCGGTACAGTGTAAGTCGCGGAAATACAATAGTATCATTGTCATAGTCATGTGACTGAACTTGATAGCCAATTAAGTGACCGGGCCGATGAATTGAGAGCGTTTGGCATGAAATGTTGACTTGACAAGTTAGGGAGGAGAGAATGGGGGTCAAAAAGGTCAGTCAAGGTGCGTCGTTCCCCTAAGAGCGAAAATAAATTAGGTACATCATTCGTTCTAGAGAAGTAACAGTCACCAAAATACTCTAACCGAAGAAGTGTTGGAAATACAGTCCTCGTATTATTTTTTGCGATTGACGTAGCCTAACCTTTTGGGCACATCTGTGGCGCCTGACGCTGATGGAAGTGATAAAGGGTGTAGTAGAAGCGAAGGACGAGCGGGGGCGTGGTAGCGCAGGTACTCACGAGGTCGCTGCCGAAGACGGCGAGGGGCAGCGCCGCCTGCTTCTTCTCGCGGTCGGTGAGGCGCGAGCGCGCCGGCGCCTCCGCCTCCAGCTGCAGCTCCCGCCAGCGCGCCGCCCGCAGTGGCAGCTCGGAGGCAGACGCTCGTGAGGCGGGGGGGGGGCGGGCCGCCCGCCGGACGGGCCCGACCCCGGCCCCGGCCCCGGGCCGCGCCCCGCGCCCGCCGGGCAGCCTGCCGGGCAGCCCTGCCGCGTGACGCGTCGGGGCCGCCGCCCCCGCCCCCGGCCCCCGCCCCCCCCGCCCCGCCCCCGCAACGCGCAGCCGCGTCCACTCGCGACGTGCCCCACGTTGGGCGCCAATGACACCACCACGCGCTCAAGCCTGTTTATTTCCACTTTCATTGCATTCCGTATTTATAGGATTTATAATAACTACTATGATTTCTATTTTTAAGATAATTGCAAGTTTATTTGTTATTTGCCATTGATTTGAACATCGCTGTCATATTTAAGGCGTGATTCATTTTCTATATTATATTTAATTTCATTTCTTCACTATGTTCTTTTGTCTTTCATTAATTTATCAACATGAGCTTATATTGCCTTTTCAGTTATTATAGAACTCCATTACAACTTGCTATTTTACAAAAATATGCAGTTTTAGTGGTTTATAATTTTTTACACGATGTTTTTATTCTCGGGGAGTAAATTTTTGAATTTATTGAATCAAACAATTAAGAGTTCTAAAAATGGCGTCATCAAATGCAACAATCGTTAGTGATGCTAATCAAAATAAGGGTAAGATTGGTGTGGGATAATTCTATCACCAAAACACTAAGATGTGCCAGCGTTTAATAACATTATTTTTAGAACACTGAACATTACAAGTATTTTTTATTACTTACCCCATATTATTTTAACCTTAATTATTATTATCTTCTCATACCATTGCTATTTTTTCATGTACACATTACTCTAACATGAATTCGCCAAGTCGCGATTGCAATTGTTGAACTGCGAGCTAGGCGGTGCATCATCGGGGGCTGTGAGGTGCGTTGCCATTTGACGTAGACATCGCTTGCCGCGACGAGCGACAAAGTGAGAAATACGAAGAGAGAGAGAAGCGCTGCGAGGATGACAGAGAGAAAGAAAGTCGTTAGGTGTTTGGAGCAATTACACAAAAGGCGAATATCGCTTTCCCGTCTCTCAAGTGCACTGAATTTGAACTTGCAATGCAGATTTTGGGCGAGAAAAGTGTGAAATGACTAAGGCATTGCTATTGTATTTAGAATACAACAGGAGAAGAGGACTCCTGTGTATTGTGTCCTCGCGCCGCCTCACTGTCGTGACGGCGTTCAAAGCAAAACCTTACGTGACGCAGAGTCGAATAAATAATTTACTTTCCCAGCCTTCATTCGTTTTTAGCCGGCTATCGCTCAATATGTCTTACATTCATGTATCTACAAATATTGGCGAACTGGCATTAAATGAAGTATACGTAAGAAGTGAGATCTTCACATATTTTGTATCAAAATCCGTATTTTTATTGTTTCTACTTGAACTAAATATTTCTTTGTATGTAATAGATTGCATTTTGTAGTTCTCCGATATGTGGTTTTCTGAATAAGCCGCAATGCACATTGCTTGCCTTCGTTTCATAACGTAACGTACTTTTGCAACTTTGTGTCAGAAATTTTCAAATTTATATCACATACGACATCAACGTAAATGTTTAATGTTTATTTCCTAAAAATTCTGAACCTAGTGGAAAAGTAATGGTTCTAAATAGAGAAGTATAAATAAACTCAAACACCTGCAAACGAAAATTACCAGAGACGAAAATCTACCGGTATTAAACCGATAGAACGGCCGTTACATATTAATCATCGTAATACGACAGAATTAGCATGGGGTACTGCAAGTGTTCACACGTTCCATAACGGCAATTTAGTCAGTCTCGATTTGAATACCACATGTGCGCGCTAATAGCTTCATCGATTCATTTTAGAGCACAAGGCTATTCTTGTATTTGAAAAGAGCGCATCATCCATGACAAACCGAAAAGTTCCTAAACGCTAAGACCTCGAAATAATTTCATTTACTCTATGTAATATGTCAAATATTGATTGAATTATAACATGGGATCGTATTTACTCATGAATTTAAATTTTATTATTTCACTATAGTTTCCTGTAAGGATGTTTATCTCTACAGCAACCCCTAACTTCTAGGAACCGCTGTCAACATCTCCGCTACCCCAGCAGCGACAGGATTGATGTGATATACATTATTATATCAGTCTTGGAGCTACCGTCTTCGCTGCTAGACTTCGCGAACGATTTGCCAGGAAGTGATAGCCACTTTCAACCGACGGACGCATGCAATTTCCTGGTAGTGAACTCTCTCCTACAGTCGTGCCAATCATGAAGTGGAAAAAAGTTGAGGCCTCACCCGAAAATTCTTTCCCGGATAGAACTTCCTTCACGCGGAAGCGAGCGGCGAGGGCAGCGCGGCTGAGTCTCGGCATACCTTCCACGATTTGGTATTTAGTGGTGGGGGAATTTATACGACGAAAGCCAGGTATGCGAATAAGCGCTCAGTCTTTGAATGTGTTCCGAGAAGTTACGCAATTTTGTCGTAGAGATACTATTGAATACATATCCAGGAGAATCTGATGATGTTTGGTTCATAATTTGGAATACCCGTCGCATTTTGCGTTAGTTTAAAAACTCACTTCTCTCTATTGTAGTATTTGATTTACAATGCATCTGTCGACGGGGTATCAAAAAGACAATGCAATGATTGGATTTACAATGCAATGCAAGGTATGCAATGATTGGGGCAAACCACAAATTGAAATGAACCCTTTTTTACCCTGTCAGCTTAGAAAACTTACATCCAAGTACCCCTTAGATCGCCAGGTCCTTTGAGAGACATGTGCTGTTCTAAGAGTTGGTACCTTCCATCACAAATGACCTAACAACTCGCCTTCCTTGATTCATTGCGATTTTGAGGGTAGCTCAAGTTCCAAAATTGCATTCTACCTAGCACAAGTGGCTTTACAATTGTGGAGTGAACGTGAGCTCCTCATTGGTCATCTCTTCATCAGCTCAAGAGAACAAAACACTAATGCCCTGACAACAGGGTAGCCTCACTTCCATAAACCATTTAACCCAACGAGCCCTTTCAAAATTAATTTTTTGATGACCAATTTCTACGACAAGCGTTCCAGTATCCCCGTAGTGGAATCTCCCACAAACTCTTTTGACCGACCAGGCTTTTAAGGGATAATTTTTGTGTTGGATAGATATTTCCTAAGACATTTCTAAGAGAAGCTTTCCAACAGCTTGAAGTGGCCCCCAGCCCCCCCCCACGCGAAAGCGAGACCTGGAGAGGGAAACTCAACTGCCTGAGCGCTGGCACGGTGCGCTCTTCGTACGCCTCGTAGCTGCTGCGGGCGGGCGCCGCGCCGCCGCCACCGCCGCCTCCTCCGCCACCTCCGCCCCCGGCGCCTCCTCCGCCGCCACCCGCGCCGCCCCCGCCGCCGCCGCCGCCTCCGGTGCCCGGTGAGGCAGATTTGTTGCGGCGCCGCTGTGAGCTGCGAAGGGGCGTCGGGTGCGATTGGAAGCCGCCGCCGCCGCCGCCGCCACCGCTAGCGCTGGTCGCAGGCGCGGACAGCTGTTGAGGCGGTTGCGATTGTTGTGACGTTGCCTGCGACTGTTGCTGATGATGATGCTGGTGGTGGTGCTGTTGATGCTGTTGATGCTGTTGTTGCTGGAGATTCGTAGGACTTGTGGTTGGGCTGCGACCCACTGTGTAACAAAAGAGAAAGTGAACTTGTTCTTGAACGTTTTGGACTACACAATTCTATAAACTAGATTATTACATTGGGTAAAGGTTGCTTTGGGAAAGAAAGTAGTGAGTAATCTATTAAAAATAAGTAGAGTCGGTTTGTACTTGACAAAAAATGATTTGATTTTTTAGTACAATATAAGTAATTTGGCTTTGTTTAAAAAACAATTTAACGATAATAAATAGTGTATATTAAATTCATCGTTTATTATCAATGAATTCTGAAATGGTTTAACTTGGTCAGAAATTGCATAGACAATCTACTTCACTATTTGAAATTTTATTGAATTTATTGTTACGTACTTTTTTAATTAGCTTATTTTAATTTTTAATTAACTTAATAACAATTAAGAACTTTTAATAAACTCTAAAAACTTATTTGCGTCAGTAGTAGATTGTAGAAACTGCTGTGACGGCATGGAACGTAGGTATATAATTATATTGTTTCTTATCTTTGAAAAAACTACTTTTTTCGGAATATACAGGACAATTGTCATTTGATGGACGTGAGCGAAAAGGAAGAATCTAAAGCAACACAACATCAGCTCAATGTACAAATTTAATCAGATGATAAACAACTCTGCTAGCATGAGATTTGAAAGAGAATTGAACCAAATAACGTATGAAACTCACTACGGTAGCAAAGTGTTTTAATCAGGAAAGAGGAACCTATTACAAAAACCTCTCACAGAAGCGTGTGCTGCGAAAACAATTTTTAAGAAGCACTGATAAGAAATGCACTGAAATAAGTTTTGTACGGAAGTTTTAAAATTCGTTTACTTGCTGCTTCTTTACAACATCCCATTACGTAATCGGGACACTTTCTCAGATAATTCCTCTGCCATGAAATAATGTGGAGAAAAACTGTAGCTTGTAATTGGAAAGGGTGTCTGAACAAACTTTTTATGGCAGCAAATGAGACGGAGTCTCTCGTAAATATAATGATCGTGAATTAACGGTCTGCAAAGCAGGCGTTTGCTGCATACGGCTTGCGAATTCTTATCTCTATAATCGTAATATTCGTGTTAGAAACTCAATATCACCACTTTCGGTAACTTCGTGAATACGCATGTTAATACGAATATAGGAACAAACTACACGTTTGGAGTGGCATGCCTAATGTCATGTTGCAGATGCCATTTATTTCTAAATACGTCTTCATGAATTCATTCCACTTGGGGAAAGAGGACTCAAAACTCAAAGACTAAGGGAGTCTTCCACTGAGAACTCCGTCCTCTCCATTAGTGTCCCTTACAATTTCACGACGATGAAAACGAGTCTGATGAAAGTGAAAACCCGATGGCACCGGGGATTAGCGAGAAGGCGAAAGGAGACACCCGAATCCGTTACACTAATTTTTCAATTACGAACCGTGTGGCTGTGAACTCCGAGGGATCCGGGCGATCGTTTTATTTCCTCCTTTGGGTTAGAGGCCCTGTATAAAGTAGAAGCGCAACGACCGCCATTTAATATCTTCGCATCTGATACGCCTGTTAAGCAACATTCAGGAGTTGAAAAGGAACGATAAAAATTTAAGACAATTGAAGATTTCCAGGGTTACTTGTATTTAAATCACAAAAGGTGTACCTTTAGAAAGAAATTTTATTTCTACCAAACAAAATATCGTGATTTTTTTTACTTGAAATAAAAAGTTGTGGGCTTCAAATGTGTTATTACTTGCTTTCATTAGTTGGATTTATAGTTTAAACATTAAATATTAATCACATGAACTCTTATCTGCTGTCCTTTGTTAATCAAGTCGATTTGTGCGAGTTGCAATCGATTTATTGAAAGCACGACGCCGGCTCGCATGCGAGTTCGAAGTTGTGTTTATCGAACGCCATAAATGTGAAAACTTAACCTTAAAATAAAAAAAATGAATATAATATCGACGAAGAGATCTCTACTTCTTAATGAGGTATTTGAGACGATGTGATGCTTCATACAATCACACTCAATGATGCACTTCCCAATTTACTTGCGCCACATGTATTTCATGAATGACAATTAGTTTTAGACATTCCTTCAAGCAAAATGCCCCGAACTCACTGCTCGGAACAATTTAAATAAAATTTTGGAGCCTAAAGTATCATTTACACTGAAACACCGGTTCATTATATTTGGGTCAAAAGCAATGTGTCTTGGAAGAGAAGGGAAATATTTCAAATTCGTGCGTTTAAAAAACGATCACTTCTTTTGGTTTTTTTTCTTTTCATTGAGTTAAGGTCAATTTTTGTCAGTTTCGAAGTGGGTACTTCCCACTAGTTAATGTTGGTTTTTGATAGATAAATGGTTCTCAATATACCGAATACTTCACAGTTCGAACTTTCCTGATAATTGGATGTCAAATGGCAGAATCTGGAATGTAAAACTCTCTGTAACTGGGTACTATCCTTTGGGTGATTTCATCTGTAATGAACGATGAAAGAAACATACCAGATCAGCGACACCTGGTAATTAATGGAAGGTGGTGCGGTCACATGAATTACGTAATATGTCTTCTGAATTCGTTTGAATTTTGTCGAAGATGAACCAAAACATTTACAAGTATTTCCCGACTGACGCCGAAAACCCCTTTCTGCAATCGCATTACTACTCAACTACGAGTCTGCTTTGAGAGAAAACGTAATGCAGCTGAGGCTCCGCAGGTGTGAAAAGGAAAAGGTGTAGTAGTGGGGGTGCTCTCCGCCGATATTCCTGTCGTGAACCGCCGCCGGCGAACGGCGCGAGCGATGGCGTTGCTCTCTCCTATCGGAGGAGGGCGAAGGGAGGCGGCCTGTGGGCAGCGAGGCGCGGGCGCCTCCAGGTCTATTTCCGATGGCGCTCGCCGGCGCTGCTTCCGCCTCAGCGCCCGGCGCCCCCTGCGACGTGCGTCTCCGCGCCCGCCTCCCCGCTCGCGTCGCCTCGCCTCGCCTCGCCTCGTCGAGACGAAGCACGAGCTGCTTGGGAGATCCCCTCTCGCGCAGCGGCGCAACCTCCACGGCCGCCGCCACCTTCCCCAACAGGCAGCGCGACCAGGTCACGGGACAATGCGTTTTCAAGTTGATTTTGAATATTGTATATTTAATTGTTGCTTTGTGAATATTAATACGTTTAATTCAATAATGAATAATTAGTACATGCATTCTAATTGCATTACAATAATTACGCGTACATTTTTCTGCAGAAATTGAAGTAATTTAAAAAGAAATCTCAAGTTTTGTGAGAAGAATAAATTATTAAATTATTTATTATCTTTATGTAAAGAGGTATTAATAGTTTATTTATTGGGGCAAGAATTGCCGCATAGTAAAATAACAATTATGAATTCATGAGGTACATTTAAGTTCGTTTAATTTAAGGCAGTGTTCGATATGAAAACATCAGAATACTTGTAATGATGACGGTACTAAATCAGATTCACAGTCGCGAACGATGTTTCGCACACTATTAGTCAGGATAAAAAAACAGCTGTTTCGCACATGTGAAATTGGCACGAGACATGGTATCGAGCAAGGCTTATTAAAAAGATTTTTTTGTTCTACTAACATAAGACTTTCCATTCCGAAACTTTATTTCCTTTGAGTAATGCGGTCTGATTCAGTTTTTGGGACATCATTGATCAGTTGACTCTAGGCATTGATCAGAAAAGAAAAATAATGTGTACTCACTACTAACTTGTGGAGGAAGCGGATATAAAAGGGCTTACACCCATTGATCTCCATCTATAACTGAATAGGGCACATTGCAATAAACGTTTGTGTTGACGACAACGTCATCCACGACGAGTTTCCAAACCACGACTTATATTTACTATGGATATTTCTCAAATGAAATTTCATAATCATAAGGAGAATCAGTAGGAGGAGGATAAAAAGAAACGCAGATGGTAAACAGGACAAGAAGAAAAGAGAGAACGAGGAGGGCAAGGAGAAGAAGGAAAAGAAAACAGAGATGCACAGGAAATTAGCCGAGGAAAAGGCAGAGAATAAGAAAAAGAATATATTTTCCTAAAATTAACAAAATTATTAACGTTTTAAAACAAAATTATGAAAACCAGCAATAACTTCTGGGCAGTAGCTGAGTGGTGTTCAATTCTTTCAAGCTATTGACTAACAGTTCTTTCGGTTGAGTAGAAGAGAGAAAGTAATCAAACACAAGTTTAACGCTCGTCGAATTCAGTTAAGAAATTCCACACCACTTTCTTCGTGCTAAAGCCAGTTGCACGTGCCTCTTCCACAACTGGCTGTGCCCTGTGCAGTTACTTGCAGAGACCAGTGCATGAGGGGCGCTTCGCTGCGCTGGCGCTGTCCTACCTGTGTGAGCGTGGGGGTGGGCGTGCGCGTGGGCGGCGGCCGCGCCCCCTTCGAAGGAGACGCGCGCGGGCGCCGGGGCGGGCGCGGGCGCGGGG